TAAAAGACTAGTTTATTACTCATGTGACCTTCGATTCGATTAACTTTTCTGCTTTATCTCCTACCTTCTACATTTCTCTTTTGACATATAACTTGATTTTTGTGTCAAAGTTTTTCGAATTTGTTAAGACAGTATTGCCACCTGTCAACGCGTGCAATAGAATTTCTTCTCGGTGAAAAAAATAAGTAATTAAAATGATTTAATTTCAAGAGGAATTGTAATTAAAATTTCTTTCATTGGTTTCAAGACTAGCTTGGGAATCTGATTAAAGATTGTGATTCTTGGTGTGATTGCTGCTGCCTTCTGAATTTTTCGCGCGGAGATACGACAGAATCTCAGCAAAAACCAGTATGAAGAATTCAATAAAAAATCAGTGTAAATAATTTTATCATAAATATAAGACGCTCTTTGTATTGTTATACGATTTTTTGAATACTGTTAAATATAAGATTCACTACAAAATAAAAAGTTAAGAAACGGAACAGCGTTACCTCCCATCGCAGAATTTAACTCACTCAAAGCACATAATTACACACTCCGACTCCAAACACCAACTTTCTTTATTTGGCTGGGCCTATACACTCAATTTGCGGGATATGGTTTGGCCACAAGAGCGCTCTATCTCTCTCGAAAGTGGGGACAGTAAATTCCCCAGGGCCAGGGCTTATGCCCACACCGGATGTAAGTATTTCTTGTTTATCCAATCCAGAAATAATACCTTACCAATAATCAAACTCGGTCGAAAATTGTATCAAAAGTTCCCTAACTTTTTTTGTTTCTAACAAAAAAATAATCGATAGTGATCACCTTTGCAGCGGCTGCGGAAAATTCTATTGCCGCCAGCGCTTCGCTTAGCAATACTTGTATCGTCTATCGGAACATCGGAACATTGTGCAACTCGTGGGGTTGTTATCATCCCCTCGGGTTTCAGTGAACATGAAAATTACTCCACAACCTTTCCTAAAAATTTACTCAAACTCGGACCTTTATCTGACTTCTGCAAAAACGGATCATCTTAAGCCTCAAATTTACTTCCTCTCTCGCACGTTATTTGCGCTTTTCCAAATAATAATTTTTCGATTTCTCTAGAGAGCCTCCCTAAGTTGTCTCGAGTAACTTCATCGACAATCATACGACCCAATACTGAGACTGCTGTCTCTGTATCAATTAAAAAGACGTTAAATCCGGAGATCGTTATCTCCTCTTGTAATACAAAGTCTCTAATTCCGGACTATTGATCTTGTTAATACCCTCCAACTTATCTCAGGTCTCTGAATTTATCCAAAAATTACGTGGCGTCCAACCGTCCTCTAAACCTATTATTACCTCTGCCACGCTTTCATCTCCCGACCTTCCTAAGACCATTCTTCTCATTCTGGCGATAATGAAAATAACTCAGCACTAGCGTCCGTAATAAACCCAAGCAGTTTGGACAATAAGTAAATACAGAGTGAATAAATGTAAAAGATAACGTTTTAGAATTCATTGCAAAGGTTTGGCCGCTATTAGAAAGAAATACACATGTACTCTTAGGCTGGAAAACCGTAAAGTCTGAAAACAATTTTGTGAAAGTGTGAACAGCGACATGTCCGTTTCATATCTTTGGCGTACTGTGAGAATTATTGGAAGTAGAAGTTTTCCCTCTCATTGTTCTCTACCCACATAGCTCTTTACCGAGTTTTGCGACAAACTCGCTCTGTATCGCTTGGTGAAGCTGATAATTTTTTCTTAAATGATATATCCCTCTCTGAACTTAATAAAGCTTTAAGTCTCTCAAAAGACTCGTCTCCAGGCTTACATTGTATTTGAAACAATCATCTCAAGATGTTAAACATTAAAAACAGATTAATTCTTCTAAAGGAATTTAGCAACATTTTAATTATCGGTTATATACCCTCTTCGTGGAGTACCTCCGTATCTTCACTTTAAAGAAAAAGAATAGCTCGCCAATTAACCTTAATTCCTACAGATGTATTGCCTTATACCCTTATAAAAACTGCAGAGTAAGTATTATATTTACGTTTAGAATGGTATCTCGAATCTAAATTTTTCCTCAACAATTTTCAATTTGGTTTTAAACGTTCCAAATCTGTTCAAAACAGTGGGGGGTAGTTTATGGACAAAACCGTACCATCATTCCTAGCTTGACGAGCATGGAAGTCAGCTTTTTCATTGATACTAAAACCGCAGTGACCTGGGATCCAGATGATGTGACATTTTTCAATGCTTGGGTCTTTTAAAAGGTTGTAGATATCGAAGACATACATATTGAATGGGTCTTTGTTCCTGATTAAAGTTAGAGCAGATTTGCTGTCAGAGAAAACTACAAATTTTTTCAGCTTAATTTCAGATGCATGGAGGATTGCTGATGGCCAGAAGTTCAATGAAAGTAGATGATAGTTCTTGTAGAACTTTGAATTTTCCTATAAGTAAGTTTGGGTATTCAATAATTGAAAAACTAGAGATGTCCGAATTGATAGATCCATCCGTTGCGTATATTTTGAAGTTATTTTCGACGAAGTTGTTAAGTTTTTGCAGACAAGCAATTCGAAGACAAGACCCTGAACGATTTTTTTTTGAGTTGGTGATCGAGTTAAGTAAGTTTAATTCAACTACGCATTTATCATGAATAATATTATTCCAGGAGGGTATTGAGTTAACTTTATTGAAGATGTTACTGAATTTTTTGAAGCAGTTAGAGTAACTACTGATGACGTTTTTGTGTCTGGAAGCGACCTCGTCAAAGAAGGCAGGTTTGAAGATTTTTACCTTAAGAAGTTCTTTTGCAGTTACAAGATAAATTCTCTTAGCAACGGGGAGTTCATAAGAGATGGAACGTAAAATTGATTTTGGTGTTGAGGGGGACAAACCGGTACAACGTCTTAGGATTGAGCGTTGAAAGGTTTGCATTTTTTTTAATGTATACGCAGGAGCGTTGCACGATTTAGAGTAAGAATATTCAATTTTGGATCTAACAATAGATTTGTAAACGTTTAAAGCTTTCCTAGGTGGGAGTCCGGTGTGAATGTTGGTCAGAAGTTTGATGGCATTTGAGCCTGTGTTGCAATTTTTGAGGCTATCCCTGTAATGCTCATGCGTGGTTAAACTTGAGTTGATTATTCTGCCCAAAAATTTAAAAGAGGAAGACGGACTGATTTTTATACCATTGATTGTAATGTAAAAAAATTTTTTGGGACCCTTAGCAAAGCGGATGACTTTTGATTTTTCCGGGTTGAAAGTTAGATTTAAGTCTGCACAAAGTCTGTGAAAAAGATTGGCTTTAATGTCGAGGTTACGGACCGCTTCCACTAATGATTTTCCAGCAGAGATGATGAGGAAATCGTCAGCATATTGAAATAAATGGATAGTATTGTCCTGTAATTGATGTAAACCGGCTCTGTATAAATTGAAGAGAACTGGGCTGAGACAGCTACCTTGAGTTAAACCTCCACAGACTTCGACTGTATATGAATTTAATACGAGAGTTCGCGAGGAAAGAAAGTTGAGAACCCAATGCCTACTTTGTGTCGGGATTTTAAAAACAGATAGAATTTGGTCATAAGCTTTATTAATGTCTAAGCAAAGCATAACTACTTGGTTTCCATTTGCTTTTTCATTTGCAATTGTGAAAAAGAGTTCATTAAGGCACATACAGGTGGGGATATTTTTTTGGTGAGCAAACGACCTTGACGGGAGAAGGTCTGAGTGGTTCAGGAAATTTGTTAGTCTTTCTTTAATCATTTGGTTGGTAACTTTTAGAAGGACGGGCAAGAGGGATATGGGTCTGAAGTTAGTGAATATTTCAAGTGCAGATAAAGAAAAAGAAACTTTTTTTTACTTTGAATTTTCGTTGTTAGAATTTTTGGACAATTAATTTTTTTTTTTTTGTGAGGGCTTCTGGAGATTTAAAATGAAATTGAAAGTGTCAACGAATTAATAAGAAAATTGTATACGGCCGCAACCAAATCACTATCAATAATATATAGGCTTTATATGGCCGTTGAAGTATCTTTCTAGGCACTGTAAACGTTTTGATAAAAGAATGATTAATCTGTTATTAATATTATCGGTGTGACCAGCTCGGTATATCAATGGATGCGCATTCAATGGTGCACATCCTCGAATGAATTTTAATTGCAAAAGATTCTATAAATTCATTACCTCTTAAAATTTGTTAGTTATAATTTTCTTATACTTAACACACACACACTGCACAGACCGATAGACAGAGGGACGGACTTACTTGCTCCAATTCAGAATGTGATGCTGATCGGGAATTCATTTATTTTATGGGTTTCGCTAACTAAATCACGAAATAAATTAATGATCGAAAATCGGAGCTCGAAGAATTTCTTTGTAATGCAAAATAGGATTTTTTGAAATATGTTAACAGTAAAATTAAGCCTTTAATCTTTAATCTTCTCATAAAATTCTTCCCATAAAATTTTTGCGAAACAAATCGCTAAAACAGTATGTAACGATATTATATTGATAGCACTATATGTTTGCAGCTGTGCTACCAATTATCAGAGGTAAAAAAACGACAAGATATGGCGAAAGAAACCCGGCAAAGTATTATGAAAAGTTGAATTAAATTTTATATATTTTTGAATTCCTTTAAGTTTTTTTAAGATTCTTTCAAAATCTTAATTTAACTATAAGCACATCAAAAACGGAACTGTTTATTTAGTAAACATGACAAACCGTGAATGAAAAAACGCTGAAATTTTATTGTCGAAAGTAAAGCCAAAACCAGCAAGTATACTACACAGCTTGTTAAAGAAGAGTCAACGCTTAGTAAATAAAGTGTTCATTTAGTCAATAGTTTAACTCGGTGTGGTGAAGAAAACTTTGTGAAGTAGTAAACGGGTGTGTGCAGTTTTTTAAAAAGAAACTAAGTAAATTTAAAAAATTTTTTAAAAAGATTTACATTGTCCCTGAGTCTAAAGCCAGATGAGAAGATGTAGAGAATATATAGAACGAACATAAATAGAAAAACAGGTTTTATAGTATAACATATATACGACGGATTTTCTTTTGTCTGTGAGGACAAAGCAGAGATGTTCTTTACTTACCTTTTTTTTTTTTAATCTGCAATTTTTGAAAGACAGGATTCTCTACGTACCTTGGCATTTATCTATTCAGGATTTATCCTGTAAGTTTTATATGTAAGTTTGCGTATACATACCTGGATGTAAAGTATCAATAAATTAGGTTAAATAAAATTAAGAAGAAACATATCTTTCAATGACGTTTTGAATGTCAATCTTAAGCATTGTGATGCTTTCATCAATAGAATTTAAAGTGAAATGAATTTTGAAAATTTGTAGATTCTTTAGAGGGTGTACGAACGGGTGCACACAAACCTATAACCTTAGTTATTTGTAATTTAATTAATATGTCTCCGTCTAATTGAGCATCGTTTTTGTGCTGTGTGATGTAAATTAAATCAGCCTTTTAAAGTATTTAGTGTGCGGTACTACATGTGTAGACAGACATTTATAAACAAACAATAAACAACTTGTTATTGTTGTTATTCTTATTTTTATTGTGTATCTTGCAGAGGCCATGAACATGCACATGCACGGTTCTGGACGTGGTTAAAAAGCGAAAACAAGCAAATATCTGTAGTAATTATATATCGAACAACATGGAAAATAATTTGTAAAAGAAGCCAAACTACCTAAGAAAAAAGAGAAACACAACAAAAAAGTTATTCTTATATCGCCAGCCTCCAATGAAACAGTTATAAGCTGCAGTGTCAGTTGTTGAGTGCGCTTAAAGCAACGACTACCGAACGGTGCGGTGCGCTGTTTGTGTCTCAGTCATCGTATTGTTGGATTGTGTGTGAAAACAGGTTCTTTCTTTTTATTACTATTACCACAATTATTAGAAGACTAAGTTCGGATAAAATTATTCGTGTTAAAAATATTCCCAGCTTGTTCTTGATGGGTTTTTTTTTTCAAAAGTTTTATCTAACATACCTTAATCAAATAAATGAATTTAAAATCATCGCCAACGAAAAAAGCACATCATCACATAATTAACTGGTCGGTTGAAAACATGTACGTCTGCATGCGTTTGACTTTTAAGGGTATAGCTGGGTAGCAAGAAAACAGTAAAAATGTGTTGGGAAATAACGGCTTAGCTTAACATTTCGCGCAAGATAATGTAACTAATAAAAATAAATAAAGGAGATTTCAAATTTTTCTATTATTATGTGGGCTGATGTATATAGTTAATAAAACAAATAATTTTATCGTTAAATGGGGGCAGCGTGAGACGGAACCAGGCGACTTTCAATTCGTTGTACGAAAATTTTATAAAACAAAAACATATCCCGCAAATTTTGAACAAATTTTATTATGTTTTACTACGACTTTTGAGTAATAAGGAAACTGTGATTTATTTTTGGGAAATATATACCTATTTCATACATTAGGCACACTCACGTCTTTTAATATTTGCGTTCATATTTAAGTTGTCTTAAACGATAGCCATTTTAATAACCACTTTGTTTTGTTTGTTTCCTCTAAAGATACAAATGGTGGTTATATCAAAATGCTTAAGGTCGAAGCTTTATTTTATTTATTAGTATTATATTGGCTCAATGAAGCTGCGTTAGTGACATGTAAGTTCGCCTAAAAGATGTATTATAATGCTTCTTAACTGCTCTTAAATATTTAATTTACAGGTGAAACAAATTATCCTCCAATTTTTCGTCAAATCAACAACAATTTAGTTCTTTCGGAAAGCACACCAGTCGGAACAGTTGTCTATCAATTAGAAGGTTCAGATCCTGAGGGTAGTAATGTTACGTTCGGTTCTATTGGCTCGGACCATTTTCGAGTGGATCCGATTTCCGGTAACATAACCTTGATTAAACCTTTAGACCGAGAAGATATGGAAAGTTTGAAATTCCTGATAACAATACGCGATCGTGTTAGTTCAAACACTGAATCAGAATTGGATAATATCGTGCATGAGACAGTGACTGTAATCGTTTCAGATGAAAATGATAATCCACCGGAATTTCAAAACGTGAGTGTTATGCAACAACAAGTAACAAAATAATCGGTTAGTCCAAGCTGTTGGTCAGTATTTATTTCAAAATCTATGAGCCCTACATATATGTATACTACATTGCTACTCATTTTCAACTATAAAACATAATAACTTCAGCTTAGTGGCTTCTTAATCGTTCTGTAAAAACACTTTTCTTATTGATAGTATTCAAGAGACTTAGAGAGAAGATTAGTTTTTTGTTTCATTAAGTAAGAATCGAGCACAATTTGAGATCTTAGAGTCGCAATTTAAAATAAAATTGTCATTTCGAAGAGTCTCGTCGCAAATTTGAAACTACGAAATCTTAGTGAAGTTGGACAGCTCATTTAATAAGACATGATCCGCATGAATGGCTGATTACGCAAAGGATCTCTGTTCGCAATTCAATGTTCGTTCAAATCTTAAACGCAAGGGCTTTAAAACTTTGGAACTACTTTTCTGGCTAAATTAGTTATAATAACAATTAAATATGAAATAAAAATTTCCAGTACCTACTATCATCTGCGTTGATTCAGAAAAACTGTATAACAATGAAAATTTGTGAACCGAGTGATTCATTATAGGTCAACCTTTAGGTTTTATATGCTTTCATAAGTATACTCTTTTATTATTCGCTTGAATAAAAATTTTACCTCTCCTGAAGCCAATTCTTTTAATTCCTGATTAGACCGAATTTTGTGAAAACTGTATTTGTCTCCTTTAAATTTCAGGCACCTTATGGCGTGGACGTAAAGGAGGACACTCTGCCGGGCACCACCATATTCAAAGACATCGTAGTCAAAGATCGTGATATTGTGGGTGAAAGTTTGGATTTAAAATGTGTATCACAAGCCCAAAGTCCCGATGCCTGTCATAAGTGATTCGCATATGTTTAAACTCAAAAAAATTTCTATTTTAAAGTAACCTTTTGCAGATTTCGTCTTGATATCCTAACAAAAGATCCCACTTCCATGACGGCGGCAATAGTTTTAAATGAAATGCTTAACTATAATCAACGAACTATTTATCACTTCCTTTTAGAAGCCTCTGTAAGGATTTACGTAATTGTGGTTCAAAATATTTAATCACAAATTTCAATGAAATTTTGCAGGATGGTGTACATATCGCTCAAACTAATTTTGAAGTAAGAGTAATTGACATTCAAGACAAGCCGCCAGTATTTCTGGAATATAAATCCAATATAATTGACGAGGGTACTCCCATTAACAGTTTGGTTCTAAAAATACAAGCCCGTGATGGCGACACAGGCCAACCAAGACAAATTGTCTATGATTTACTAACTAGTGGGTATATCTTTTTTTATACGCAGCTTAAAAACTAGAAGACTTGTCTATCATTTCATCGATTATTTTCAGATCCCATGGATTATTTTCTTTTAGATGAACGAACTGGTGAGCTGCGCACGGCTAAGCCGTTAGATCGTGAAGCTTTACCCGATAATACAGGCATTGTTAAATTAACCGTCCGTGTAAGTTAATAAGGTTTACTTTTAATAGCTTTCAATATTAATAGCTTCATTATCTCTCTAAGGCTAGAGAAGTAGTCGATGGTGCGCCAAGTAACAATCCGGCAGAGAGTACTACAACTCAGGTGACCATTACAATACGGGATACCAATGATTCCCCGCCCACTTTCAATAAAAAAGAATATGAAGTGTCTTTACCTGAAAATACGCCAATCGGCACACCATTGGCTTTAGATATGAACGTTACTGATCGTGATGTTGGTATTAATTCGAAATTTCGACTTTATTTAAAAGACGTGTCGGATGTTTTTCAAGTTGAACCAGTAACGGCAATGGGTTTTTCGCAAGTTTACATTCGTGTAGCTAATGGCAGTTTAGACTACGAAAACCCAAATCACCGTAAATTTATTGTGTTAGTGATCGCAGAAGAAACCGACACGGATCCAAAGTTAACTTCAACGGCAACTATAACTGTATCTGTTATAGATGAGAACGATAATAAACCTATGTTTGAAGATGAATCCTATACAGCATCCGTATCCGAAGATGCTTTGCCCGGCCAGTATATTACCACAATTATTGCTAAAGATTTGGATTCAGGTAATTTTGGTGATTCTGGCATACGTTACAATTTAAGCGGTGGAGGAGCAGAACTTTTTGACATCAATGAAATAACTGGAGTGATTACATTAGCTGATTGTAAAAATCCTAAGACTGACAAGTTTGACGAAAAATTAAAGCGAAACAAACGTCAATATGATGATTATTTCTCGTTGGAAGCTTCACCTGAAACGAATGAAGACTCGAGTGAGTTGCGTAGTTATCTGATGAGCACAAATAACGAAAATCCTCATCCGGATTTCAACTTTGAGTATAAGTTAATTAAAACACCCAGTGCCATAGATGTAAACAATGAGCTAATGCTAGAGCCTGTCGAGAAAAAAACATCCTGTTTGGATTACGAAACCGAAAGTGCATACTTTTTAGCTTATAAAGTAGGTGAATTCGAATTCTACTAAAGACAAAGCTTTATGTACTTTTACTTTTAAACTCGTAGGCCACTGACGATAGCGGCCTCGGTCAGTCTTCAGTGGTATCTTTGCGTATTTTGGTGTTAGATGCAAATGACTCACCTCCTGTATGTGAGAGCCCTTCTTACAGAGCTTCGATCGATGAAGGTTCTAATGCCTTCGAAACTCCATTATTTGTGAAGGCTCGCGATGCTGATGCAATATCGGACATAACTTATCGGTAAATATAAACTCATTACTGAATCCTTTAACTTGTGAAATATACGAGCGCATTAATGTAGCATCTTAGGAGACAAAATGATTCATGATACATTTGCGATTGATAAACATACTGGTCAAATTATACTTAAGAAAAATGCTACTTTGGAAGTTACGCCTTCAAAAAATGATCATCTAGTGTTTGCGGTTGAAGCTGCCGACGGCGTATTTACGACAAGTTGCGAAATTAACATTACTGTAAGAGATGTTAACAATCATGCTCCTCACTTCCTCTCAAATAAATATATAGCGACGATTGAAGAGAACTCTGAAATAGGGACCAGCGTCGAAAAGTTAATGGCCGAAGATTTGGATTCTGGCATTAATTCAGAGTTGCGGTGAGTAATTATTCTTCATTAAAATGTCTTACACCATTATTTTTGATGTTTTTCGTTTTTTAGATATCGTATACAACAGGGTAGTTTTGATGATTTTCGTATTGATGAAATGACTGGCGAAGTTTTTGTGTCGCGTAAATTGGATTACGACAGCCGTAATACTTATCAGATCGAAGTAATCGCTATGGACTTGGGCACACCAAGTCTTTCGGGTACCGCTACTTTAACAGTGAACGTTATTAATAGTAACGATAAGGATCCTTACTTTACGCCAGCGACACAACATGCCGAGGTACATCTGAGACACTAAACTTTTATTTAGAAATTTGATAACTTTGAGCGTGAAAAATTTATTAAAATAGGTGCGTGAAGATGCTCCGGTTGGTACGGTGTTCTATACATTGGTTGCTTTGGATCCAGACATTGCTTCAAGGGATGCTTTAGAATTCGCTGCAGTTAACATTACTGCCGTAGATAAAGATGGCAAAGAAGTAATCGAGAGTGAGCAATTTAAAGAGTACTTCACTATAACGCGTAACGGCAAAGTGCTTGTTAATAAAAAGCTCAACAGAAACTTATTCGCAGTAAGTGCTTCATCAGAGTTTTAACCCAAATAACGTCCACCTTCATTCATAACACTAGGTTATTCATATAGATGTACTCGTGACGGACAGCACAGCACCAGCCGTTCAACAGGGGCGGGGCTTACTGATCATACAAATAATCGATGTTAACGAAATTGCTCCGGTAAGTAGGACGATTTAAGATCACTCAATTGTATAAGTGAGACCGCATAAACTTTTCCTCAGTTTCTACTATCTTGTTTACTTCCTTCGTCACTATTCCGTTAATAATTAGATGAAAATAAGTTTGCTGATAAAAATCGAAGTAAACGTTACTGAAAAAAGATTTAATTTAGTATTTAGGATAAGTTTGTGAAGATTTATCACTAACAGTGTGAATACCGCTAGAATTAATTTGATTACGATATTTATCATAAACACAATCAAAACACCTATGTCGTTATTCATATAGTGTTTGATTGTTATATAACCCAATAGTGCTTCTCCCAACGCCAAAACAATGTTTTCCAGAACTTGAGCAATGATGGACGGTAGTAAAAGATTTGGCAAATCATTAGTTAATATCGGAAACCTTTAGATAAGATAATAGTTTCTTGTGCTCTATTATGACGGAAGAAATCAGATTACTGGTATTGGGCAATCGAATTAATTTTTTTTGTTTCACGCTTGTGGAAGCAAGCTTGGACTTTGGTATATATTAATTTAAACAAAACTTTATCAAGATATTATCTCAGGCGAGCATCATTTCATAAAAAGAAGTATGGTATTGAGGGATAACAAATGCTAGAAGAATCTTATGAAGAATATGGTGGCAGTAAGGCACCCAATAGCAAGCCTCACAAAACGGAAATTGAAAAATTCATTTTAATATAAGAGCATCGTTATGCTAAATATGAGATGTACATATTCAAGTCATCAGTCCTATGCAGGTGGACTAATAATGCTTATGCAGTTCAGTGAAACCTTGTCGAATTTGCTGAAATACTCAATGGCGACTCTGAACTTGGAACCTCCTAACACTATAGCTTCCTTGTGTTATTTTGCTTTTATTCGAAAGAAAAATCGGACTAATGAATGCTTCGTGTTTATCGGAATGATTTTATTCTGGAATTGATCTGAAACATTAGGATTTCTTCAGCCGAGCAACACGCTGTCTACTCGAAAAATTGGGAAAAGTTTTGTTTGTATTTTGGGAATTGTCTTAAAAGCTGTTTATGAGCAAGAAAAATTAATTTAATTCGTTTACCCAATAATATAGCTATTTAATTAACTCACAGTGCTATAACATTGCCAACCAGATTCAGATAACCAAAAAAAAATTTAGCAATCAGATGTAAAGAAATCGATAACACAAGTACATGATGGCACATAGATATTTCGCATCGCTCATCTAGTCTTTTATTGACCTAAAGAGAGTGTGAGTTAACGGCATATGGCCATTGCTGGTCTATTACTTACCTCTACAATGTCGGAATGTAATTTATAGGGATGCAGAGTAGCAGCTTTCAAAAGTATTACGAAAATATTGACAACAAGAATTTTCAAGTTGCAGTTCTCTAAAGTTGAATCCATAGATGAAAAGAAATAATCTTAATTTTTGATTGTTAATTTTTTATTAATTATTGACATTTTGCTTCATTCTTTCATTTTCCTTGTTGTCATACAGAAATTTAATTCACCCTGGACCATTGAAAATCCAGTAATAAAACTGCAAATGTCTGAAGAACAACCCGTGGGATCGGTGCTTACCACTTTGCAAGCCTCCGACGATGATTCAACCATTGGTGATTATGACATCAGCGAAAATCCCTACTTTGAGATAAACAAATCTACGGGCGTCATAACATCAATTAAACGTATCGACTATGAAGTAACAAAAGAAATTAAATTTATTGCTACAGTTACTGACACTGGCGTGCCTCCGTTGTCGTCGACCGCTGATGTGGTAGTCGACATTATAAATTTAAACGACAATGAACCAAAGTTTACACAAGCCGTCTATTATTTTAATGTAACCGAAAACTCACCAGTTGGTACCGCTGCCGGCAAAGTGGAGGCATTCGATATTGACCAAGGAGCTTTTGGAGAAGTCATTTATTCTTTGATCGGTGAAAATCACAAATATTTTACCATTGATTCCTATACGGGCAATATAATGGTGGCCGACTCGTCAATACTTGATCGCGAAAAAATTAAACAAATCTCCTTAACAGCTGTGGCCAAGGACAAGGCTCCTGCAAATTTACAGAAATCAACTGCAGCGACGGTAAATTTATGGAATCTTGATTAGAAATCTGCATTTATTTTAAAGAATTTCTCTTAGATTTTTTTAAATATCTTAGATGTCAACGATAATGCCCCAGAGTTTACGCAGAATGAATATTCTTCTACCGTGGCTGAGAATGCCGCATTAAATCCTCCCGCCGCTCTGCTGCAAGTAAAAGCTTTTGATTTAGACGAAGGTTTATTCGGCGATGTACGTTATGTTATTATAGAGGGCAATGACAAAGGTTTGTTTAAACTGGACTCGCAAACAGGGATTTTATATCCAGCTCAGAGTTTATCTGGGCAAAAAGGAGTTTACAAACTGAGAGTTTCAGCTCGTGATACTCAAGGATCCGGCACCACGGAGGCCGTTACCAACGTAATAATCAATGTGTTGAGTGTAAACCAACATCGTCCAGTGTTTCTTATACCCGCTCTCTCTAATGCCACTATAGAAATACCAGGCGTAAGTTACAGTCGTTCTGCAAAAAATACCTATTTACCACCTGTTGTTTCTCTAAAGGATGTGGTTCAAAAGGATTACCTCTTACTAACTGTAAAGGCTTTTGACAACGATACGGATGAGAATGGTAAGGTGTTCTACCATTTGCAAATGAATGATCAGAATATTCAAGAAACGGATGACTTTAAAATTGATGCCGAAACAGGGGAATTAAGGGCGAATAAAGATCTTTACCGCAAAACAAAAGACAAGTCAGTAACATTACCTAAAGACAATTTGTCGTTCTTTATATAAGACGTTCTTTTGATTATCTTAGTTATGATTTAGTTCTTGTGGCACGTGACTCAGGTAATCCTAAACCTTTGGAAACCTTAAGATTGCTCAGCGTCTGCATAGTGGATGCTAACGAAAACCGCCCGGAATTCCCAGATTCTCATAACCCTTATAAGATTTCCGTAACGGAAAACAGTGGGCGTCATGTGAAAATCGGTCGTATTCAGGCGACTTCGAGCAACAAAAATAATCGAAATGTATACTATTATATGTTGCTGGGAAACGAAGACGGCGCCTTTGTGGTTGATAGGGATACCGGCGATATTTATACTAATAACAGCTTAGATAGGTGTGATAGAGTCGTATTTACTGATCTAGCTGGAAAAAATTAATATTCTTTACTATTCAGGGAAGTTATCGATTCGTATACATTATATATATTGGCTAGCATTAAACGTGATCTGCACATATCTGATGACGAACGAGCGGCCTTTTCTATTAAAAGTCTTGATCGTGATAATACAGTAGCTAAGGTGCTTGTAACGGTAATGGATGAGAATGATAATCCTCCCTTGTTCGAAAGGGAAATTTATTATGCTGGTATCAATGCCAAGTCACCCATAGGTAGCTTAATAGCGATAGTCAATGCTTCCGACGCTGATGCTGGGAAAAATTCTAAAATTGAGTATATGATAGTAGCTTCAAATTTATATAAGTTTGGAGCCACAAAATCCACCGGATCTATCGTGCCCAGTCCTTTTGGTAAATCTTAAATGCGTGTCTAAGTAATATATTTCTTAATTAATTTCTGATTGCACAGCAATTTCTTCAGAAGGGCGAATTACAACTGGAGCTTTCATGGCAGAATACAATCAGGATAGATTTGAGTTAGAAATTGTTGCGAAAGAAGTCGAGGAACCACAACGTTTGGCAAGAGCAAAAGTCACGGTAAAAATTGACATTACTGGGAATTTCGCATGGTCACTTTAATGCTTTTTCTTTAAAGGTTTGGATCTTTGATTATACTCAATTGGTGCGAGTTATTTTATCACGTCCACCCGACGAAGTCTATCAAGAGCAAGACGAAATTATTGCTGAACTTCGCAATGCCACCCAACATCGTATTATTGTGGACGAAATACGTTTTCATGTCGATTCTTTGGGTCGCGTGCGTATGGATTGGTGTGATTTATTCTTTCATGCCGTGGAGCCTCAAAGTTTGCAAATCGCTCCAGTCGATGAAATTCTCAAAGTTATCGATGCTAATTATGATTATCTTAGAGTGAGTACAAAAAAAAAGTAACCTATAAATATGGGCGGAGATTCGAAAGTCTTCGAGACCTTTACTCAATATTTCGAAGGTGCTCGAAACCGCTTAACCTGCAAATAGTTTATGAATAAGACAATAAATGTATACCAATTAATACATTTTCGCAGGATTATTATGCTGGATTTGCGATAGAGAATGTGGTACCAGCTTATACAGCTATAGTGCAAGAAGAATTTGATTTAGCCATAGCCGGTTTAGTTGCCTTAATTATAGTTTTATTTGTAGGTGTAGTTAGCTTTATAGTATTATGCTGCTGCCTCAAGCATTGGTAAGAACAGTCTTTAATTGGACTGAATATCCGTTAATCGAGTCTCTGATGATTATAGGAATCTCTCTGTGCCAACAGAAAGTAGGCGTAAAGAAGCTTTGATTAAAAAACAGATTGTAGAAGATCTGAATACCACCGAAAATCCCCTTTGGATAGAACAGTAAGTGCTTGTCCGCTTATAAACTTTTTTTGTTAACTTTGTTTGGGGAAATGATATGAGTAATAATTTTCTTTGATTATGGATAGAAAACTAAAACTTTATGAAGAGCAAGAGTTAACTATGCAAGTATTCTCCGAGCCAGATCATGTTTCAAATTTGGACGTCCCGGTAAGGAGACATCTATTTTACTTAATTGTAAACAAATCTTTTCATGGTCTGCATATTAAAGACAAATCTCGAGCAACGCAATTCCTCCGATCAAATTCATCATACAATGGACAACACTTACGCTACCATCCAACCTCGTAATAGTAATCATACTGTAAATGCTAGTGGCAACAATGGGAGAAATTTGGATATGAGTCGTATTGAACCGCATATGGCAGATTTTGCGGACTACGCCACACTGCGCAATAATCGCACTCCGTCTGTAAGTAATTTTTAGACGTATCTAAGGATTTCAATCATCAGACGTCAAAATTAAGAATATAATTAGGTTTATTCTATTATCGAGCAACAGCCTGCAGCACATCTTTAGGCGTTTTCTCCTCTCCTATCTACTTTACGTCACTCATTATGAATTTGATCGCAAGTAAATTGAGCTTGTAGAAATTCACAGAGAGAAATACGATTGAGTAAATACTTTTTATGTCTGATTCTTTCTATAATCACCAGTATCCAAGTCGATACGCCTGTTTAGACCCTTTCCAATATCAAAACGGTTTACATGTCGATTATGCACGTCATTACTATTTCGTTCGTTTCGTCCACATGGGAAAAGTATTTGAATACCGAGTTGATTTTGATGATAACATATACCTCCCAGTTTTGTTGTAAAGCGTGTTTATGAGATCGACAAGCATTTGTGCTTTCTTTGAAATAAATTTGTGAAATGAAGATATTTGAGAAAAAAGTTCAACCGCTTTCTTTAAAATGTAAGAATTTGTGCGTTTTTTATACAACACCATAAGACCTAATATTTAGGAAACCACTATAATCATAGGAGGGTTAGTTGGTAGGGAACTTAATTATAAATTAATTTGTTTGCTTTTGTTGCTGAATTTCAGATGTACGAGTTTACTGGCTCAACCTTTCAAGCACCAATACGGGATGGTGACGATGTAGTTACTGAATTAATCTAAGAAAATATTTCGATTTATGTCTGCGAGAACAACAGATCTTTGTCGCAATATTTTTTGTGGATTTCTAGAAAAACGAATATGTATTTTTTATATAAAAATTGCTATACCCCCATTACTTTCATACATACACATATTAACGGGGATTGCTTTTTTTTTTTTTTTTTTTTTACTTGATACTCAAGTAGGCTGCAATACGTATACATAAATAATATTAACTATAAACTGTGACAATAAGGAAAACAAAAAAGAAAAAATGCATTTATACTAAGCTAATCTCTATTAAGCAAAAGCCTGGATTATCACACATGAGCTAATTTCGTTATGCTTTTAAAGTATTTTGATACGAATATATATTTTTTACAAATATTATCTTATGTAACAAGAACGTAACTTACTGCATTAGTTTACTCTTATGCTTTTATTAGTATTTATATGTAATATGTACACAAACGCAAACGCGCCTAGTTATTTGTAGACATTGAGCAAATAAATATGCTTTTTACATATGAGTTGTAATGGATAATACTCTCTCTCTCTCTGTTTCTTCCGTTAAGTTACTTGTATTAAGATATATATTAACCGAAGCAATCTTTTTAAGTTTAAGTACAAAATTAAATGCTTCCATTAATAAATACACGTAATATACATGCATATGTTCACTTATACTATGTAATATAAGCAAAGCGATAAAATGAAATATATAAATACATAAAGTCCTTTCATTTTGTAATGATTTTCTAAGCACTTTTCAATATGAAAATGAAAACGAGCGAAGGCAACAATTTGCATCTGTTTTTAAAGAAGACGAAATGGTGGGCTTTTTCTTCATGACGTATGCTACACAAAACAAAAGTTACTTATGTTACTTGTCAATTACATACATAAGAGTTTAAAAATCCTTTACACCTAAGAAAAAAAGAGTAGCTTCGTGGGATATTTTTTTCGAAAAAAAGGAAGTCCATATATTTAAAAAAAGTAATTAAAATGGATCAAAGTGGCAGATACTCGTTGATTGCTTTGAAAGAATTGAAACAACTTCACTTCATTTCAATTCATAATTCTAGCATAATAATTCAAAACGCTTTCATTTGTTTTGGAAATGAAATTGTAGCAAATCGTGAACATCGGCAACTGCTTTCTTTCTCAATTTATGGACGTAATCACGTATCTGCAAGCTAACTTACATTTTTGTTTCCCGACTGATTTGGGATCGCGATTGTGAGTATTCAGCGTTGTTTGGGCTCTAGGGCTGTTAAATATGCTGTCTCAGACTGGTCAAATTACCGGCAAGCGATATATTTTCCGCTACGATTGGGTGTTTAGCATTTACGAGGCAGAAAGAAATTAAAAAAAAAAACTAGTTAACCTTAAAACAGAAAGTTATTGACTAAAAAATTTTGAGCTAGTCACAAAGAGATGAATTGTAAGAACGGAAAATTTTTTCGTTTACGATTTTTGCGTAATTTTTTGGAGCGAACTTATAAGCTTAGTCCATTTAATCTCAACAAACCCAAACAAAATGTTTGAAATTGTGTAAAGGTAAATAATATATTGTTAAATGCTAAATAATCGTTTGATGTTAATCAACATAAAAATATTAGGCAGAATGCTTCGAAAAATCATTTCGTACCATTTGATGGACGAGGATCGAACTGGACGAAAGGTAACTGTTATGAGACACAGAGTGGTTTTTCTGGATGCTTCAAAACGTCTTACACCACCTGACAGTATGTGAATTTTTTGGATATACTAGTGATACATATATACACTTATTGATGTTGGTGCAAATAGATTTCTGCAAGAGTGGTTTTTAAAGACATTTCACAAACAATTGGACCCAGCGATGCTGGGTTCTACATGATGACTTATTGGTAACGACTAATCCATAAACATAGCGCAGAGTGTGCTTTTAGGCGTTATAACGCAAATAATGGAAGTCTGTCAGCAGAAAGAATTAAAATGATCTTATTTTAGATAAAATTATATTAGGAACTTAAAGCATTTAACTAAGCATCTCATCGTCATCCCCGAAATCGGGTCGGGCAAAAAGGGAAGCTTTTACAGCTCCAGTACCTTAACATTGAATGAACTACGGTCCTCGGTTTTCGCCTTTAATACTTAAGTTTGCTCCCTTAATAATTGTTGGACGGTGTCTTAGGAGCGTCTTTCATTATCGATTTGCTTCTGGAACACTTTATAGCTTATATATTAAGGGAATTTTTATAATTGCCAGCCGCATAGCGCGACTCATGAAATGTGATGACTATATTCTTATACCATATACTATTATTTGCCTTTATTAAGTAATGATAGTGATATCAACAAATGCTTTAGTGTGCATTTATTACCCATGTTTAACGGTTATTTCTTCCATAATTAGCTAAATTAAAAGCAATAGCGTTCCTCGTTTTTAAATGTGACCAGTAGAACGTAAGTATGCAAAGTATATAATTTGTTAAAAGAATGCTTAACAACATTGCGGCGTAATACAAACGTATAAGAAAATAAACAATGTGTCCATTCCTCATCCAACTCCGTATCGGGATTCTGAATAATAGGCTTTAACTGTTAACTGAGATAAGACGTCGGTCGGTGCCATCTCAATCAATGCAAGAAGATCCCATAAGGAAATAAGGTTATGCACCTCATTTAATTTGCTGCAGAGAGCCCCAAGTAGAATAACAGGCTCATTATTTAACCTAGATTGGCTAAGTTTACTAAAAAGAAAGTACCTAATTGAACGGGCAGGAACGTTAAAATTAATAGCACTCAACAAAAATGGCGAGTCAATGGCGTCCCTAATCAACTTCACCGTGGAAGCAATGCCCAATACCATCCTACGTCTTTCAAGTGACGGCAAGGTTATAAGAGGAGAAGGAGATGCTTAGATGCCAACACAAATTCCCTAGGTCAAACAATAAGAACTGTTTCTGCAAAGATTCAATGAAGTTCACATGAAAACAATGCGGCGCAGTGCAGGGCGCACTAAACTGGCATATAATCAGTGCTTGGTGAAGCCTAGCGGTGATCTAGCTTTATATATAGAGTCTTCAACATACAAAATAAATCGAAGGTTATGATCACACAAGATACCTAGGTGAAGAATTGAATCCATGGTTTGCAGCCTAACTGTGTCTATAAAATCTTCCGATGCGAACAAGATTCGCCTCGAAAATGACACCGTCGTGCGTTTCTTTTGGTTTAACCACATAAAATTGTAGGAACATAAGGTTATCAAACTATTTACTTCAGCGTGGAGGAGAGATGATTGAGTTTCCGAATTAACCAGCGGAAATAGTTTGACGTCATCTGCTTACATTAAGATGTAGGCAGATTCAATAGCTAAGACGTTTACCTCCTCTTTAAGCGTATATGTTTGATTAAAATTCTCAACAGTGGATATGTGTGTTTGTCTAAAAATTGCGTCCATATGAGAGTAGGCGTATATGTTTCTTTAGACTTCCCAATAATTGAAAATTTGTTTGTTTATTAACAGCTGTCGCATGTGTAAAAGTTGCGTCCCTTTGAGCGACCAGAGTTCCACAAAAACAGTAACTAAACCGCCCAGTTTCCACAAGTACGGTATTGTGTACTATACTATGAATAAAATAAATAAATAATCGTTTAAAAGAATTGAGGAATGACAAATAACAGATGAAGATCTTTATAAAAATATATATCACCAAAATATATGTAATAACTTTTCTAGTATAAAAAACTTGAATGATTACTGGTTATTTGGGTTGCACGCATTGCATTGGGAAATTCAATGTCAACTATAAAAAAGATTTTATCGCTAATGAGCATCCTTGGCTCGCGCTACTAGTGAGCGTGTTAAGCGCAAATCATCGTCTTTTTCTGTGGCTAGGTTTCGCGGCACTGTTGTCCATGCGAACCACCCTCTGGGTTTGCTTATGTAAACACGATTCTTTTCTCAACCACCATAACTTTCGGTCGTTTTACTTACAAAGCATTGTCATTCATTTTCGCTCACAAAATACAATAAAAAAACCGGGGAATCTTTGCATCCGCCATTCATGCTTGTTTTCTCGTTAATTGTCGTCAAGACCAAATTGACGTTTAATCGCTTTATATAAACAAACCACTTATGGTAAGAAATAAGCATTCGAAATTAAATTAAAACAAAATTATGTAAAATTTGTATTGGGCCATAAAATGATAAATGAATCTTAATGTTTTTGGGTGACACGAAATAGTGATCACAATTGATTTACAAGGAATTTATGATTAATTGCGTTGCATTTAATTGCAAATACAAAGAATTGCACAAACGAAAGTGGATCCAACATATGAAAAGTTTTTTCAATGAAAATAAGAAGTTATACTTCCAATTTTTATTTAATTTTTATGCAAACCTTTGTGTGGGTATATATTTTGGACTGTTATAACATCTACCAACTCTGTGTCAGAAATCCTCTAATTTCCTCGTCCATCTGCCTTAATTAATGTCGATACTGTCATCTTGATAGGTCGCCGGTGCTTTAGTATTCAAATAATCTCCTTTCACTTTGTAGTAAAAGCAAACATTGTGCAACGCTGCACAAACATTTGCGACCCTACCAGGCTTCTTTAAGCAGCAGCTGCCACCGACTTCGAGAAATATTGAAAAATTTTAGCTAGATTTTCGACTTGTGAATGTAATACTAACCTTTGTGCACACTAATGTACCTTCCCACAATGTTCCTCGCCTTGCAATGAATTTCGTTGTATTTTCTTTTTAAGGCAATGCTCTAGTTGAGATCCATTGTCACTAGGTAAGAAATAAAAAATATTGTTATAAAATTTCGATTTTTTAGATAGGACTCCTACCACTAGATCGTGGATATTCTTTTCAAGAGAAATACACTTCACGTTTTCGCTATAGAACTCTTTTATTTACAATCAATTTGTTTTAGGGTAGAACTATTTACATTTTACTTTGTCTGACTTCTCAACTCTAATACTCTTTTCCGAGTCAAATGCTCTTGTCCGACTGACTCTGCCTTCCGCAAGTAGTCTATTTATATACATTTTTATAAGCATGCTACTATTACCTAAGTTCCCTCTCTAGGGAATTTATTATTTGGGAAAATTAATTATCCGGAAATTAACTGGATTTGGAGATTTACGTAACATGGCCCTACACTTAATCTTGTTCGTCCCGAAGAACGTCATTTTCAAAAGCTATCAACGATATTTTCTTTAGCATTCTGTTCGTCAAGCATGCGTCCTTCGCGATCTTTTCTACATTGTGGAGTTGTTACGGTCTTCGCGACATGTTTCTGCCTACCATAGTCATCCGGCAATTTTCTCGATTTATCTCCTTTAACGTGGTGTTTATGATGGACGCCTGCTTTACTATTGATGAACAAACTCAAGTCCTTCCTCCGAAATTTACAATCACGAGCAATTTACGCAACTTTGTCGCAGCTGTTGTATTTGCGCGCGGTTGTTTTGGTCTGTTGTTCTTATTCTGTCTTTTCGGACATTCGTCGCATAGCACGTTGGAGGCGTCATCAATAATGAGGGCTTGCACTTTAGAAGCAGTCTCCAACACGAAGTTGCTATTTAGCCGCTATTTCTTTTAAGGCGTTGACTTCACTTCGTAAGGTTTCAAACTGGCTTAATGTTCCACTTAAGACTTCCATCTCCGCATCAAATTGATTTATTACTTTAGTAACTTTTTCTTCCAAGGCAGTCAGTCTGGCATCAAACTGGCTTAGCGCATTGTCA